GTTCATACTATCAGTAACGTAACCTCGTTTTTTCGAGCAGAAAAATCGCTCCCAAATTTGCAGTGCGGACCCCTAACTAGGTTAGTGAGGGGTATTTACCTTGAAGACAATTACGGATTACTCCATGGATATAGCTTTTCAGGGCCTTTTTCAATCAGTTTGATTTTTAAACAGGAGAGCGCAGTATTGAAACGAAGAACGGTATTATTCTTACGATAGTCGACTGTAGAAGTGAATCTCGATGTAAATATCTTTAAAAAACGCAAGCTCAAATATTTCATTTACATCGCAATGCTTAACCTGATCAAACGGGAAAATTAACAGACGGTGATGTTCTTCATGAAACATTTAAGGTGGTACGCGCCAAAATTGTACCAAGTTTGGTTGCATCCGTCATTTCCGTGATTGTTGACCTAAATTATTTTAAAGTTCGAAATGTATATCCACAAATCTATTTATCTCTCCTCTAAGAGCTTTATTACCTAAGCAACTTAAATAAACCCTAAATAAGGCCTTGGACAGCTTAGTGAGCTGATCAGATTGCCTTCTTTCATAAAGAATAATTGACTATGTCTCGAGACCCATTTCATAACCAGAGAACTGGTCCGTTAAAACCTATTAGTATAGAGGACACAGGTTAATACTGCTTTTCTCGAGCGCTCATAGGCTAGTTCGGAGGTGATTATAAAGAAGACTGGGGACGGGTTGCTACAAGAGTATGTCCACATCACATGTTATGAACTTTTATCTTCAGAAATGAAATCAACGTCATTTCGAAGAGGACAGCCATTCAGTCAAATATCGATGCCTTGTTGTACAGTGCAACGCCATTAGCTACTCTGGTGTCAGTAATTACTATGGTGCTTACGGGCCAGACTCTCACGCCCGCCAATGTTTTTATGCTTCTATCGTTTATGGGTGTTTTAAAATTTTATGGCATGTTGAATATAACAAATGGTTTCATAGGAACATATGACGCTTACGTTTCGCTTGGAAGAATCGAAGAGTTTCTTCTTTTAGAAAACTTATCAGAAGCCTCGGAGGATGATGAAAGTAAAGAGCACCCACAAAAGGCCAGGAGTAACTTCACTAACCAGAGTCACGGCTACTCAAAAAAGGAAGCCGAAAATGTGGAAAATTTTTTCGATGCTTGTGAAGCAACGGAATTAAGGCCTACTAATATATGTGTGTCTAATTTAACCTGCACAAAAAAGAATTGTGAAGATGAATTTATTCTCCAGGATATCAAGTTTGTTGCACCTTCGAAGAGTTTAACAGTCATCACCGGCCCAGTTGGAAGTGGTAAGTCTACTCTGCTTTCAGCTATCGCTGGTGAAATTTCCAACACGAGTGGCATGATTTCTTACCGAGGCAAGGTCATTTACTTGCCTCAGACTGCTTGGGTGTTCTCGGGAACGATAAAAGAAAACATCCTTTTTGGCCAGCCCTTCGAGGAGACCAAGTACGAAAGAATAATCGACGTCTGCACTCTGAAAGAAGACTTCCAGCGGTTACCTGGTGGTGACCAAACAGTAGTTGGAGAACGCGGCGAGATTCTGAGTGGAGGACAACAGGCGAGAGTAAGTTTAGCTCGTGCAGTTTATGCTGACGGAGATATTTATCTATTGGATGATCCACTAAGTGCTGTTGATTTTAAAGTTGGCCAACACATCTTTAACAAGTGTATCAAAGATCTACTAGGCGAAAAAATCGTTCTGTTTGCCTCTCATCAGCAACAGCACATGGAAAATGCTGATGAAGTGATTGTGTTGTACAAAGGGCGTGTCCTCGACAAGGGACGCTTTACTGAGCTGCACGAAAAAGGTGTAATCGGTTCAACTGTTGACCCACCATATAAAGCAGCTCTGCGGAAAGACGAAACAGAATCATCTGATACCTTCGCCTGGGAGAATACAGAAAAACACGTTGATGCCGAAAAATGCAAGAAAATACTTCCTCTGTCCAATGAAGCAAGGAGCTTGGAGATAGCAAAGGAGGATCGTACAATCGGAGCAGTGACATCCAAGCTGTATTGGGACTACTTCAGAAGTGGAGCGCATCCCCTAATGATAACTGGAATGGTTGGTTTTATTCTCCTTACTCAAGGTAAACTTATTGTTATACCGAGTTACAAGCCTTGGGTCAGGCCCTAAAAGGAGATACAGTGGTTTTTTATTTCTATTTCCATTTAACAGTATTTGTTACAATTAAAATTAGCTGGCATAAAAACCTTGCTTACAACCTGCAAAACAGGTGGCATTCCTCAGGCATACTACAACGAGTTTGAGACACACACGAGGAGAATGGAAAGGGCGAATGACGCGCAATCGAATAAGCACGTGTCTAGCCGCTCTCTTTTGCCTCGTACTTGGCTTGCACCTACTTTCACTCGCCTAAAAAAACTCAACAAAAAGGTCGCCTGTTTTGCAAGCTACCATGCCAGGAGCTTTCGAGGGCAATTTATTTTGATGCGTACCGTGGTTAACCGATTCATCTCACATATTGTAGTGTTTATAGAAACATCCTCAACCTACAGATAATTGTATCTAATGTAGGCAGGTAGTGCAGGTAGTAGCCTAATAAATCTTACTGTGTTCAACTAAATGATCATATAGAAATAAATACCAACTATCACATCTTAATTTTGTCTCTTTCAGCCATCATAGTTGCTCCAGACTTGTGGCTCTCGTTTCTTGCAAGACTAATCCCAGAGGATCAGAATAACAAGACGTATCTATCTGTCTTCGCCTGTCTGGTTGGTGCGTGCTTTATATTTACTATCGTTCGGGCTTATGGATTCTTCCATGTTTCTCTAAAGTGCGCCGAGCGTCTTCACGATAAAATGGTTGTGGCCATTTTACAAGCACCTGTCCTGTTCTTTGATTCAAATCCAGTGGGAAGAATCCTAAATCGCTTCTCCAATGATATTGGCTGCGTGGATGATATGCTACCTAAAACAATCCTGTGGGCAATGCAGATGCTCTTACTTATATTTTTTCAAATTCTCGTAACAATTGCCACAAATGTTTGGCTCATTCTTGTTGTTGTTCCCATTTGTATGCTAGTCGTTTATCTTTCCAATCATTACTTGAAGACTGCCAGAGAACTAAAGAGGTTGGAGTCTATATCCCGAAGCCCAGTGTTCGCTCACTTTTCGGAGACTCTGATAGGACTAGACACGATTCGTACAAGAGGAAGACAGACACATTTTTTAGACACACTTTACAGGTATGTTAGAGACATTGACTCGGGCTGTACTGCTAGAGCTGATAAAGCACAGGGAACGAGTGAGTCGTAATTGACACTAATTTTTCTAACTGAACTCACCCTTCAATTTTTGTCTGTTGAAATCCTTTCTTTCATGCGTCGAGACACTGTTTAGCAAGTGAACCTTTCCTTACTAGAAGTTCTTGGAGAGAAGTACCTATTTGGGAGGGAGGGGAGAGGCAAAGGGCCCTATTTTACCCCGAATAATCTCCTTAGAGCTTTTTTAAGCTGTTGTCGAATAACAAAACCAAATTATTCGCAAAGAGACAACCAGAACGAAAACTCAAAGTAAAAAACAAGGAAACCGCATTGAGTGCCCGAAATCGGCAAGGGACATTTAGCGGTTGGTTTTGCTTTTGAGTCGGATTTGATAAGAGGTAGACTCGAGTTTGCAGGTCCAATTAGAGAGCAAAGTAAGACAAAGCCAATGCTATGCAGCTTTTTTTCTACAGTCAACTGAAAATTTCTCTTTTATGAAAAGTAACTATGATAAATTGACTTGTCCCCACAGATACCAAGATGTTCATAATCAGGCGTACATTATGGTGATGGCCAGTGCTAGGTGGCTCGGTATGCGCTTGGATTGTCTCGCTTCCCTGTTAGTCGGTGCAGTTGCTGTGGCTGCAGTCTTGGTATCTCAAGATGCCGGTAAGCTCAAGATTCTTGGTAACGTTTTTGAGTCTTTCTATTTATCACGAATCTGTATAGTCATATATTGAGACAGCATGCACTACTGGATTATTAAATAAACGAGACTATACGCGCACTCTCATTGGTCGATAGGTGTGTACAGTTGTGATATTTTAGATTCGCGATAATTCTTGGGAAATGTATTATGAAAGCAAAGTGATAAAGGACTATTTCCGTGTCTAAATAGCCTCAACTATACACAAGTGGCTTGGAGAGTGGTGTACCCGAAAGTTATGCAAACCCATAGGGCATCAAATGTGTAAAGCTTTGACTGTTTTTTTTTTCAGCTTACGCTGGTCTCGCTCTTGTATATGTCATCCAAAATCTGAGCATGGCTCAATACGCTGTTAGAAAAACCTCTGAAGTGGAAAACTACATGACGTCAGTTGAGCGAGTTATGGCCTACACCAAACTTGATCAGGAGCCTGGATACGAGGAAGAACAAACACCCCCAAAAGACTGGCCTCAGAGAGGAAGTATTGTGTTGAGAGATGTATCATTGACGTACTATCCGGGGGGACCTCAAGTGCTGAAGAATATCAATCTTAGCATCAAAGGAGGAGCAAAGATCGGCGTTGCCGGCCGGACAGGAGCTGGGAAGTCATCTTTTGTAGCAGCTCTTATGCGCATGCCTGATGCTGATGGAGAGATAATCATCGACGATGTTCCAATTAAAGACATAGGCCTCCAGCAAGCCCGACGAGGTATCTCGATTCTTGGCCAAAGGCCCGTTCTTTTTAGCGGATCATTGAGAAAAAATCTCGACATTTTAGACAAGTTTCAAGACGCTGAATTGTGGCAGGCTTTAGAGGATGTGCAACTGAAAGATTTTGTCGAGACATTTGAGGCCAAGCTCGATCACGAACTGCTGGAACATGGCGCTAATGTGAGTGTCGGCGAGCGGCAGTTAATTTGCTTGGCTCGTGTGCTGCTACAGCGAAGTAAAATCGTCGTCATGGACGAGCCAACTGCGCATGTAGACCCAGACACAGAGCAGACGATCTGGAATGTAGTGCGGGACAAACTGAAGGAATCCACTGTCATTACTATTGCTCACCGTTTGAACACGATAAAAGAATGCCAGAAGATTTTGGTCTTAGAAAATGGAAAAGTTAAAGGATTTGACAAATTTGATTCAGTAATGAATAATGCGTAGAATGTGGCCTGAGACAAAAGAGCTCGATTGCCAAGTCTGATCTGATCCTGCAGAGTTCGAATCCTGCACATTGTGGAAATGAAGAAGAGGTAATGAGTGACAAAAATATTTCGCTCATGGCTCGGTTTTTTCCCCCACGGTGCCCCCAGCTTGTTTAAAATCTCTCTCGCTGTCATGCCTTAGGGTGTCACGGAACGCCGGAAGCGTTGCGTGACATTCCATCGAATGCCTGCGAAGGGGAATTTGCTATTCGTTGGCAAAGCCCAATATTGGTGGCAAAACTTACACTGAAACAAGGCATTTTGTTTGGTTTAATGCCTTCACGGTTTCTCGTTATGGTTGTCGTGATATTACCTAGTTTCCGGCCAACGGTTATCACACTTCAAGGCCACCTTATACAATTATTCACTGGTGATTAAGTTTTTTGACTAGTTCTGTTTATTGTGCTTTATAACAAACGGGTGTGTTCTTACTTCTCCTGCTCTTGACAAAGAACCACAACAATGGTCTTCTCGTCTTGGCGTCTTGTGAGTATAACTTAATTAAGATGCTGTTTATTAAGAAATGTTCTAAGCTTTACCGATGTTGTTAATCTACATACAGCCCTTTGAAACAACTTCAATAAACGGGCTAAGCGGAAAATATTACGTTCCAAGGTCGCCACATTATTCACATGTATAGGTCTCAACCGAGTTCAAGATGATGCCCTCTAATATATCAGGTGATAATCGTTAAAATAAAAAAAGAGTGAAAAGAGAGAATCTAATCAGCATATCACGTCACTCTATAACATAACATGAGGGTCTTATGACTGTTGTGGCCCCAGACGGTTCGTTTATTAACTGAGACTCAAAGGTGTCATTCAGTGTCTTCCCGTCTTGAAATTGCGTTCAGTTTTGCATTTACGACTGTAATATTTCCGAATTGTTTACTCAAATTCCATTATGATTGACACGGATTCAAGGACAAACTTTGTGGCTTTTACTTTCCTCCTTACTATGTCAACAGCTGCATGCCTCTCAAGCTCCGGCGCTAACAAGTGCTCTAGAGCACAAGACTGCAGTACAGGAAACGGTTCATATGAATGCTGCTCTGGTTCTTGTGTCCAAGGAAGCAATTGCCTGGGAGAAAACTGTGAAATAAACCGAGATTGCTCTACATCTGAAATTTGCTGTCGCAAGAAATGCGTCGATAGCCTGGATTGCGTAGGACAAACTTGCTCTTCTGACAATGACTGCCAGAGGAAAGAAGTGTGCTGTTACGGATCGTGCAGAATAGAACTATTGTGTAGCGACTTCACCCTGCTGATTCTCATTTGTCCTGTTGGTATAATCGCCATTGTATCCATTTCCTCCTGCGTCTGTAGAAGAATCTGCTCCAAGACTTCCATTTCCATGAAACGGTATCCATTTTCACTGGAGTTTTCGTCGGGGAGCCTTTTATCGAGTTCGCTTATCAGCTCTTCGCGACCGCTTAAGCTATCGTCCAATTTCGTCGCACATCTGTTCGATACACCTCCAAAGGACGTAAATTTTCCTGAAGACTTGACTCACAAGGTGGCTAAGATACACGAAGGTCCAAAGCCCGAAAAAAAACCCCAGTATGGTTCATTTTAAGAAACATCGAAACTTTGAATACATTTATTGATAATGTGTGTACCGTCAGATTGGCAAAATAGTGAGTGTTGCTGTTTGTCTCAATAATACTTTTACTTTTACACTTTTCAGTTCGAACATGTGGTGATTATTAGGAGAGGATATTATGATATTTTGAACGAGTCCTGACGGTTTTAAAATGAATTACATTTCTCGTATTTGATTAACCCTTAACATACCACGGGTATGTTAATTTTTTTAGAGAAAACTCAGTGATGTTAACAAGACCAGTTGTAGATAAATTTCCGTTTAATAAAGCCCCATATGATCACTTATATTCATAACCAATAGAAAAATTTATATGAACTTGTGTAACTTATTATGGGATATATATCATATAATGACGTCACAACACGCATAATTAGCATAATTGGTAGGAAGTTCATGCAGGACTAATTGAAAGAATACTGTAACAAATTTATTTTAAAACCAGTGCCTTTTCTCAAAAAAACATGACCTTCAAACATTGAAAATAACATTTTCTGGGTTAATAACACTTCTCTGCACACAAATTTGGGCCATTAAGGTCAATTTAAAGGCATAAATTATCTTATGAGTGACAAAATCTTGGGGTATTATCTATGAGAAAGTCTTAGAGTAAGTCACTTTTATTGTCTCATATATCACTTTGCTTTAGTTATTTCACTTCCACCATCATGTTTGTCTTTACATATTCAATTTTAAAGAGCTATTCCTCTTCCTTTGGTGCGAGGCCTCCCCCTTCTTTCAGACTTTGGGAGCCTTCATGATCTCCATTATTGAAATAGAAATCTTTCAATGTGTAGTATCTGAGAAAACAGGGCTCCAGGCACATGCGCACTCCACACTGCACAGCTCTAAAAGGTATCTACATGCTGTAGGTGAACCTTGTGAGTAAACCTTTTGTCCTTCCTCACTGGTTGGTGAAAGCATTCTTGGCTAAATCTAATTTCAGGATTGGGTGGCAGCCACATTTGAGTGTCCCTCCTGAAGGAATTTCCTTCAATCAAGTCACTTATCTATGACTTTCTGAAGTCTAAAGCAGTTCTGGTGGTATGATTTGGAGATTTCCTTTCCAAAATGCGTGCATTTAAAACACACACTTCTATGAGATAGGAAAAAATCTTATAATACCACACAGCACCTCTCAATAGTCTTGCATACAAGTTGACTCTCTGATCGAAGACATCAGCATCACCCATGTAAGCATTGTACAGAGGCCAATTACTTTCACGGATCTTTCCACAGCACCAGAATCATCTTCTCTTGTGGGTCCAGTGCCTAAGAAACTGACAGATCTTCTGTCACAGCATGTCATGCAAGTCAAAGTATCTTTCTGTCTGTAAAGGGACTCTCCTCTTTTCAGAATTTTAACCTGGTTTGACTTCGCATCACAAATGTCTTTGGGCAGGCTTAGCCCGTACCAACAAGCCAAAGTTTTCCTTTCCTCTAGTTCATCCGACAGCAGTGTAATAATTATCCATAAACACGTAGTAGCCTTTGTCAAGAAAAGGTTCCTTCCATGATATAACAGCCCTTTTTCCTAGATCTTTCTGGACTACATTGGCTTCCTTTCCAGTATATACCTTGCTCCCTAGAACATAGCCTCTGGTTGATTCAGTCCACGTAAAGGCCTTGATTCCAAACCTGCCTGGTTTTATGGGATGAATTGCCTAAAATGAACTTTCCCTTTGACTTGATCAAGGTTCCATCTACAGCAAGTTGCCTCTAAGGACTGTAAACTACCCTAAACCTCGGTATAATCAAATCCAGCAGAGGCTGAATTTTGTATAACTTGTTGAAATTTGGTGAATCAGGCCTGGGAGCTAAGGAATTATGAGTAGAGTCTGAAGAAATCTTGTTCTTGACATAGTGGTATCAAAGAATGGGGTGGACAGCATGGGGTCAGTACTCCAGTCGGGAGGGATATTTGCCTTATTAATAATTCCCACACACAAATAAGTAACAGCCTAACCTTTCATTTCTTCCACAGACACTGGATACCACACAGACTATTCTGCAGCTCCTCGTTTCTGATTCGCATACAGATTAGTCTGAGCAACTAACAACTCCCATACCTGAGCAGTGGAGAACAGATCAAAAAACACTTTGCTCAATGTCAAAGATCTAATGTTTACATTTGCTGCCAATCCCACGAGTTCACTGAAATCAATATCATCCCTTCTTGTTATTTCTTCGCTCCATGCCGATACTTCTTCTTCCTCCTCTAGGTCTTCATCATCCTCACTTTCCAGTTCTTCAGACTCATCCCCACTAGATTCTGCAAAATCATCGGAGTCATTCTTTTCTTCTGACTCGCGATGTTCCCAAACACTGACACGTGCCAAAGGTAAATAGTCTTCGTCGATAAATTCGATTTCCACATCGTTTTGATCAATTCCAGAATGCTTCAGGTGATATTCCGCACCCCGCGATTAAAAAAAAAACCGCACACAAGACGCACTCGAAATTTAAATTTTAAAATCCTTTATTTAAACTCACTAAATCTCACTGCCTCAAACTATTCACCACAATTGCTCGTTAAAATGACCTCGTATATTTCTATATCTATGTATAAAAGTTAGGTGGGAAAATTTGCACTAAAAGACTGACAAAGGAGCCGTAAACTTTTAAGGTGATTGAAACCAAGGTTGCGATTGGTTGATTTAAAGCGAAACTTTGAATGTGATTGGTTTATTGACCAGTTCGAAAACAAACTGTCCAGCAATAACTTGGCAAGTGGATAGGTGGAAAACAGGAGTTTTTTTAAACCGACCACTATCGAGGAAATTGCAATTTTTATGATTACACGAGTCACAATAATGATAACTTTCGGAGTGAAATTCTTTCTAAGGCACAGTTGCTTGGTGTACTTGTATGGTACATTGCTAATTAATCATTGCTAACTTGCGTTTATCAGTTAACTCTACGAGTAAAAAAAAAAATTTTTTTCAGGGAATGGCTGAACCGGATATTCACTTAATATTGATAAGAACACAGGCCTGATAAGGCAAGGAAACAGGTGCGACTTAAAGCTTAAACCGCTGACTTGATTATTCCGCGGGAATTATATCGTTCAGATAAGGAATTTTTTGCGTCTTGAAAGAACAATTTTTGCGGTTCGGAATAACTGAAACTTCGACTAACTATGCAGCACATAAGCAAGAAAGGAAACAAAATTTCCACATCTAAATACTTTCAAAATTTACGGCGAGGAAAGACACGGTAGATATTTGTATACTGTTTTTTTCAAGTGAGTTCGAGTTTGAAGAATTGAATTTCAAGTTTAAGTGTCGCATGACTTGAGTGTCCACTGTAATTTTTTGCAGGGATTTCACTTTGCGGATGGTATTTTCAACTAATCTAAAGCGTTTTATCTTGATGGAACACAATACCAAATTCCCCGCCAAACAAACACATTCCACGCTGCAATGCGTATGTTCCGCAAGAGGTCATACATGACGCAAAAATGTGATAAAAACGAAAAATGGCACACGAGGTGTTGTGATCTATTACTGTACAGACCCACGCCAACATGGAATCTATTTGTTTTACGAGATAAAAAAGCGAAATGTTGTTTATAGTGACGACATCCATGTGTCTGTTCCTCAACAGATCATATTTAGGAACCATCAAAATCCCTGTTTAATTCAACTAATCGTACAAATTTACAGGGAACCAAATGATCGGTAGGTGAAAGAGAGAAATTTTTAGCAGATAATGGGGGCCTTATGCTGTAATCAGCCATCGAATATGAAATGAACGCAATCACCCTTGACTTATCGATATTAATTTGTTCAGAGATAAATGACACCTTTTGGTTTCTACTGGGGCATAAAAAGTAACCCTAAGAGCTAAATAGTCGTATTACAAGGGCGTTCTATTGTTTTTATATTGTCTCATTGGAAGTATGAGGTATGACTAGCAAACATCAGTTAACGTGGAGTTGTTACCTTAAATAGAACAGCTCTTCTCACCATAATCATCCTGAAACCATTCAACCTTTAAAAATATTTTGACTATAGTTTTTGGCGAAACTACAGCTTTTGTTGCAGTAATTAGATAGAGAAAACAAAGGGTTTTGTTACCCGTCATAATAAGCCTCGCAAACGCGCACTTAATGTCAGATGACCTATATGACCCTAGAAATCTATCTTCGGTAAACCTCTAGTTCTACTCAGCAGAACAATTTGTTTTCGTTCTCTTGCCGAGCTGGATACATTTTGCTCTACTGTAGTAAACCCATTCAACAACGCAGTTAAATTTCCTTCATAGCCACTAGGGACTTTAGGAACACCACGATGGCGACGGGTGTTACTAAACCGTGGATCGGCAGACCGCGGAATCTCCACAACCACCGGAACCAGCGGAACCATTATTTAAAAAAAAAAAAATAATAATGAAATCAAATGAAATAAAATAAAAGCTGAAAATATCGTAACATTATTCGAAATTTCGTTTACGGCTATAAAAAAGATAAAGAGAGAACCTTATCTACCTTGACTACCTTGACGTCCAACCACAGGACATCCAAGCTCACACAAATAGCCCCTGTAAATATGCAAATATGTTCAAAATGCGCAATGGGGGAGATATAAGGATTTGCATGGAAATGGAAATAAACATTTATGCTCTCAACCTTAAAAGATCGGAGCTTGTTCTGAATAAGGATTAATTTACCCCGCTTAAGTGGTTGTCCTTTTGCATCACGTGAATTTCTTGGGCTGATTTAGGGAAATTTGGTTTTACTTCATTTGCTTAGCACTCTACATAATCCTTTCCAAGACAAATTTGTGAATAACGCCAACAAAACGAATCCACTGGAAGCAAAACACTGTGAATTCGCGAGTCCGGACACCCTGATCACCCCGATCACGTTTTTATTTTGAATTCAACACGACATCCACATGTTAAGCCGAAGTAAAGATGTCTTATTGTCAGAAACGGTTAACGAATCGAGCTATTGGCGAAAGTCTTAAAAGAAAATCATAATGTTTTTCGGCAACGTTTTACCACACGTCGCCATGATGACACCTTAAACTCCCTACCGATTGGGCTAGTCTGAAAGGAGCCTAATCGACCGTTACGAAGGACAATAGTTGAGGTTTTCAGCTTCCTACTAGGCTAGTACTGTTGTATGCTCTAAACTGTGAGGGAGGGGTGAGCTAAAAGCTCTTAAATTGTTGTACCGCAGGAAGACGCAGTTAATAAGTACGTGAAAGATGGCTTCTTCTTTTTGTCGTTATTGTTCTTAATAGGGACCTTGAAAAAACAACGTCGGTGACGGAAACGAGGACATGGCAAAACAAAAGATATAATGAGCAGAACAATGGCTCGGCACGTGCGTTTTAAACTATGTACATTTCTTAGCCGTCCTCTACAAAATAACGTGAAATCATCAAAATTTGCGTGGTCTGAGAAATGAAACCCCGAAGGCAACTTATTTGCTTCCATTTGGAACTCAACGCCGCTCTCATACGTTATGCTGAGGTTAACTTGCGGCGCCATAAGAGGTGGTAAACGCATCCAGTCATTCGCGAAATTCCAACTAAAAAGATATAATCATTTTTCAAATGGACGCCTTCCTTGGTGTTGCCGTCTTAACTAAAAGTCCCTAGTATACTTATAATAAATACGTAGGGTCTTTGCACTGCTAAAATACGTCCATTTTGTGTGGCTCTTTTCAACTAACCGTGTAGACAAGTTTTTAGGAACTTTTGCATATGGATTTCGTTGGTTTCTTGCAAACAGGACATACAAATAGGGCTGCTGAGACAGACACGAGTGAAAAAATAAAGAAGAAATAAAATAGGCTTGTGCTGTGTACTTGAACCTTGGTGACACATGCGAGAGAAGGACATTGCAACGCTGCAATTAACACGACTCTATCTGATCGCATTTAAAACTGAAACGTGTCAATCCTATTAACCTGACAATATTCGGGCCGATCTTCATCAAAACATCATTATCAAGCCCCATTCCTTGAAAGAAGAGAAATATGTACCCCACAGGCAGCACAAGGTAGGCCTTGTTCTTAACATAAGTTTGGAGATAAGACTGCAAGTCAGTACGCTTTTCGTCTGAAATATTTTAAGGTTCTGTAAGCTCTTCAATAAGAAGTTATTTCCCTTTTGAGTTTGAGGTTTAAGTGAAACACAGTTTACATTTATTTATTTGCGAGTTAACCAAGTTGCGTGTCTTTACCTACTATCAGAGGGCGAACTGAGCAATTACCACTCACAAAAGTTCCCAAAACATCGGATAAAATTGCGCTTTTGTTTTGAAAATAGATTCCCTTGTTGTGACACAATGGATCTACTTCAAGCTCCCCGCCCCTTGGTGCATCTCACTGAATACTGGTTTAACGAGCGGAGTGCAGGTTACTGACCACCAGCTCAATGGAAAGGAAATCTTCAAGTGGATTCTGGCTAGTGCTCACCACAGTTGTGATAGTTTCTTTAGGCTTCCTCGCAGAAGACGTAGCATCTCAACGAAGAGGTCGCACAAACTGCTCAGTATCCACTCCGCCCAACACCAAGCAGCCTGGTAGTACCTGCTTCGGGAAAGCCACATTCGCCCGGTGCAGTTGCATATATACTGAATTAGAGATGAGCCTCTGTGCAGTATGGAAACTATCAAACAAGACCTCCATAAGGGTATTCAACCACTTCATGAGAGAACAGACTAGTCGCCCTAAAGCGGCGCCCGTGACGGGAAGTTGCACAGGTTACACAAACATTATAAATAACTTGTACGGAAGCGATAACAGTGGTCTTAACTACCTCACGGACCAAGAGGCAAAGTTTTACGGCATCGACATGAGTTTCTGTGAAGATATGTCTCAGAACAACCACCATGGTTGCAATTACACTCTTGTACCGGTCACCAACTTCCACAACAACTCCGCCGAAATGATTTTTTTTTACGTGGGTTCCTTCTCAAACGTCTCCCACCACATGATAATCGGTAAACACTACCAGATGAGCGCGGAGAAGTGCCAAGGGCTTGGAAACGCGTCTGAGGAACAGCAAATGGCTATTACAATGACCAGCACACAGAAAACGTGCAATGGAAACCCGCCACGCAGTTCTGGTATCATATTATTTGCCTCGCCCATACTGGAACAGATGGTTTTCTTCTTCTGCGTGATCATCTATCTCAATTCTTTTCCATAACGGAGTCCTTGACCTATTATAACACTTCAATTTCACGATATTGAAACCTAATCATTCGCGTATTTTTGGTGAATGTAATTGAATACAGGATATAAGCTCACGCCGGAGACATTTATACTGATGTTCCAATCAGGATGTTTTGTGCGTAAACATAGGAGTTTCCTTATGCCAACGAATAGTCATGGTCAAAGATTCGACTCCTATTGAAAGCAATCGTAGTTTACTTGTAGCAGGAATTCAATAACTTTTTAGCTTCGTTATCAGAAGAGTAAGAAGAATGGACGAAATGCATGCCGTCACAAGAAGAAAAATTAACCCTTTAATTCCCATGAGCGATCAAGATAGAATTTCTCCTTACACTATCAATACAATATCAAGCAGACAAGTGATGAGAACAAAGAAAAATATCAATTAGGCGACTAGTAACTCATCCAATACTAAATTCTCGAAACTAATATCACTAGAATTGTATAGCAGACAGTAAGGAGAATTACCAATGAGATCTTGGGAGTGAAAGGGTTCACGCAGAGGATGGAATAAACAATAAACAGTAGAATATCCTCGTTTATGTACTTTGAACTAATTAATCTATTTGTTGTTATGATAACTATAAATCTGTTATTATCAATAAATTCCAAACAACATTTCAAATGTCATGCTTACTAAGTACAAATCTGTCTTTCTAGATCAGCTCATACAGGGGAAGAGATAAGTTTTCCTAAAAATCTCCATGTTAAATTTCGAAAAAATTATTTTCACTGCCATTCCAAAATACGAGGTCAATAACAAAAAAGGATACCTATATACATTCAATGTACCACTGTAGGGATGGCGCGCGCTCCCTTGTTTGTACTTACAAATACTGTTAATTCATACATCTTCTTGAAAATTTGAGAGAAGTTTAAACTCTATGCTAAAATCGAAAAAGGTCTTAAAAAATACTACTTTTTCTTCACATTCTTACGTGCTTATCTGTAAATAAGATAAACTGTCGAAAAATTTTGCTACCTTTTAATGTCTACACCTAAATGGCGCATTCTAACGAAACAGCAGTTTTCCAATTTAACGTGGAAGATAATCTTGGAAAGCATTCAAGGATTTGGTTTACAGGCTCTCTGATTGGTTTAGAAAACCTACGCTACTTTGCCAGCCAATCAGAAACAAAGCCATTGCTTAGTTATTCGCGTTTTCCCGCCTTTTCCCGCGCTTGAAGCTGATCACATGTGTTGACTTTGGCTCGTTAGATATTAATCTTTGTTTTGATTTTATGGGTTTGGTTTTAATGACACTTCACTAAAAGAAAACTATTTCAAGAAAACAGGGAAATTATAAAGAGTTTGCCTAACAGCTAACCCGAACACATTGTGATATTGAACTGTTCCTTTTCGATTCAGGCCATATCATCATCCTCTGTCCATAAGCCTGCTGAAGTATTTCCAGTTTGCTCTTTCTTTACGTCTTCAATTATCATTTTAGCAATTTTCCAAGCCATTTCTTCTTTAGCCTGTAATAGAGAAGGAAATACTAATTGTAATGACTTTACACAAAAATTATAGTCTGTATCTGCTAATTTGGTTTTACCAACTCAGATGATAATGTAAATTGGCCACCGTAAAGAGTTTCTAACACTCTGATGCCAACACTCAATAGAAACTCTTCACACGTTGGCCAATTCACATTACTGAACTCTGTTGATAACACCAAATTACCTTGCAAGACCCCAACCGACACAGCACCACAGTTTCTTCAGAAACTTACCCCCTTTATGCACCAGCTTATAGTACCAATATACTGCTTAATTAGCAATAGCCTAAATGTAATGTGAAACTAAATGACTTTTACCTTATCTTCTCCTCCAGACACCAACTTCCTTAGGGCCTTCCCAAGCTTGGAAGCTTTAAAAACATCAATCAATCAATCAATCAATCAATCAATCAATCAACAAATCAATCAAATTATCAGCCATACAGCCAACAAGCCTGTCAACCCTTTACACCCTAACATCAGTATCTAAATTCTCCGTACTCTTCTCTGTACATTTCCTTTAGAACTGATCAGGAGAATTCGTGTAGTGACGAAAGCCTCTTAGGCTGGCAATAATTTCCTTTATACTCATGATCTTAATGAATGCTTTAGGAGTATTGATGTAAGGAGAAAATAGATGCGGGTCACTGTTAGAGTAGTTGCACTCAAGTAGTTGCAGTCAAATGTGGACAGACATCCACCTTGGAAAAAGGAATAAATGCCTAATAGCTTGACAATTGTGAAGAAATGGCCATTAAAAAGAGGTTAGCAGAGGTTTAGCTGTACTTTTGTTGACTGATAATTTTGTCTTTAGTCAGGACATACGCACCTTTGGAGGTACCATTTCCTCTGTCTGGTTCAGGCTCAAAGACTGGTTCAAAAATTCCAAACTCATTCACCTTGCCAAGTGATAGCCTGGAAATGAAATAAATAATTGCTACACTTAAATGACCTTTTTACGAGGCATCTTAGTGATAAGCTGTCTTTGGACAGAAGCTATATAACTTGCAATGGGCTACTCAACATTTGCTTAAGTTTTTTCCTGGAGACATACAATGATGCATTATTTCAAAACTAACTACTTTAAGAAAAAAGCCTAAAGCAGAGAGGAACTTCAGTCAAAAGTGACAAACAGGGACCTACCCAGCATAAGGTCTTTGCCAAAGAGCATCTGGGTCTTCTGTAAGATCAAGGTCTGACCCAAATGTTGTCTTCACTAAATGACTATTTTCATATGTGTGAGTACCAGGTCTCCTAACATCATCTTCACTTCCAACAGAGGCCGACAGGGTCTGGGAGGATTGACTCTCACTAACAGAATTGAGCAGCTCTGTGAGGTACTTGTAGTAGATTGGGCTTGTAAGGAAACTTGGGAAAAACACCTGAAATTCAAGCCAACATACTAAATTAAAAATACATCTACAAGAATAAACACATTTAACAACCAAAACATTGCACCCTTGAACTCCCAGAAGTGATTGAGAGGTAACATCTCCCTATAATATCCATACACTGTCTAGCAAACAGGTAATGAGAATATTTAAACTTATCACATAGTGGTTGTTTTTCTTGTACTAACACCAAATTCTCCTAACTAATTTAAAAGGAAATGTGTAGCAGCTAGAGGGGAGAATTAACAATCAGATCTTGGGAGTTAAAGGGTTCAGCCCTGAGCCCCAGTACCTTTCCTTTCTTTTGAACAATGTTCGACCTACATGTATGAAAAATTTTAATGATTTTACAGAGGAATTTATATGAATATGAGGAATATTGGCAATGAAGTATAATCATTTGTCTCGCATTGTATTCACTTCCTACAGCTGTATATGAATTGCTGAGTCTTCTTCAGGCTTGAAGGTTGACTGGATGCATCTCAACCTTATGAACCATTATTCTCAGCTGTGATTGAGTTGTGTTTAACAGCTACAATTGGCCCATTCATACCCTCAAGAAACCTGCCATGTGCTATTGAAATTTCACAATCCACATTGGCATTACACTTTTAGAAAAACCATCATACCTCCCTACAGGAGCATAAAGTGCAACCTTTTTTATAATAAGAAGAATATGTTCGCAAACATTATCACTAATTGTTTGGGTAGGCAAAACACCAAAGAGGTAGGAACAAACCAATAAGGGGCAAGGATGGTGAAGGAAGGAGCAGATTAATGTTTTCAGAGGTTACAAGGAACATCAAAAATCTAGGACAAAATATTTCATGATGGATGAACAATGTTGAAACTCTTTTAACATACCCATCAGATACTGGGTTGTGGCTAAAGCCAAGCATCAACAAAACATTTCACCTTTCCAATATAGAATTAAATTTCAACAAAATTCTCAGCTATTTCTTCTATAATATGATCGAGTGGAATACCTCCTCAAGAAGGCAAAGGACATGTTCCATGGGTTTTGTAAAGCATTCTGGTAGAGGGCCACCTTCACGACAAATACAGTTCTCTATCTCAATTCTTGTAACATCATCAAAACCAAGAGGTACAGTTGCTTGCATGGAAAAATACCTACAGTGGTTTACAAATGCATCATAAATTCAGCATTGTGAAATGTTACAAAAGATTGGGCAATCTACATTAAATATAAGTCTGATGAACAACGGATAAATACTGACATGCACATGAATACAAGAGGAACAAAACAATCGAATACTACAAAGTAAACATTATTCTTTAGTTCATCTCAAATCTGCTCTTGTTAAGTTCACATTGTTTTCCTTGTTCACCTTTTTTTTTTTATTCTTTTTCATCATGTATAGAAATGAAAGTCAGTCTTGCAAACAAAATAAATTCATCAAACGCACTATACTTCTTCCTTGCAGTGATGTTTTCTAAGATTTCCACGAAAACCTTTGGTCAAGGAGCCATGACCTGAAAACAACCCACAATGCCTTCCAAGGTTTTCACATGCACTTTTGTGTTTTTCCCAACAAGCTTTTGGCAAACAGCTGTATGTAACCATTTGCGGAAGTTTAAATCTGTTAAATTGCCTGTGAAACTAGACTAATTGGAAATGAAGGATGTAGCAGTACACTTACTTGTCATATATAATCATAGCATCACTCAGAGCATGCTGTGCACTGTACTGGTTGATTTGGATTTGGGATTCTAAGTGAGACTGAAAATTATCTGCTGTTAGCCAGAACTCCAGCATATGTTGAGTTCCTTCTTGTTCTAGATACTGAAAAGGAAATAACAACTTGGTTGACTATCATTTCTTTTAGGCCTTCTACTTTCAAATTTGTTGACAACCTAAATCACATCACAATAAATTTACAAAAAGTACTGACCTCCATAAAATAAAACATGGCATTTTGATTGTACAAAATGTCTGAGAGAAACACTTTTCCACTTGTTAAGATATCAATTTGATGCTTACAATAAAAAGGACTGGCAAGAAAAGCAGGGAAGTACCTATAAAAAAAAGACAAAAACAACAAGATCACTATGATTACTGGTAACAGGACTAAGAGGAGTCCAATTTGGTCTCTAATCATATGAGTGATTAACAAAATTGGATGAATGTGAAGTGAGAGTCTGATTTGTTAATCACAAGTAAGATTAGACAGAATTGGAGGACACAAAGTCCTGTTACCAATTAATCAAGACTATGACAAAATTTCAGAGAGAAACAAGACATCAGTTATATGTTTTCACAAAAAAAGAAACAAAAGTTATCAGGGAAATAATGCAAGACAACAGCATGTGCATGTGATGCCTTCTGTCCACTTACACACATGACGGATTAACTGTTCCTTTAACTGTCCTATCACATTGTCCAATGACAAGCATGATATGTACACTTTCCTTTTAGTGCTCAAATCAGGCTGGTGTTAACCAATCACATTCAAGAATGTTATTAAAGTTTTGACTAATACCCCAATATCATGACTGAATTGGATTGTGACTTGATTAGACGGTGAAAGGAAAAATGAAATACTGCATTCTTCTTAATGATATCTTCACCAAAATGGTAAAATTGCAACAATGAAAGCAAAGCTTCAGAAATAGTTGCATTCACAAGGCCTTATTACAATCCTAAATACTTTCAATCAAGGCTAAGCACATCACATTAACACTTCTTTAGCAATGTTACCAATATTGATATAAAATATGTTTGACTGTGTAAAAGACAACAAGAATGAAAACTTACATTCTTTCCATAACATCAAATGCAAACTTCTGAGCTGGTTGAAAGGAATCTGAAGAAATCTTTCCATCTTCACTGCAGATATTAACTGTTTGTATGCGACAAAATAGAATTACAACCTTTTCAGATATTATAAATCCTATTTAAAAATCAGATAGAAAATAAAAGTCATACGACTCACTTTCAATCTGTCTTCGAATTGACTCCTCCAACCCTAATGGATTTGATGCTTCAAGTGAAATGTACTTGCTATAAATACTAATAGCATCTATGACAATACTTCGTGTTCTTCTCCGACGAAAACTATGTTCTCCATCCTCAAAGTCTGGTGTTAAATCAAATGTAACTTTAGATGTTCGCACTCCATCTTTCATCTTTAAAGAACCTTGATTGTTGACCAGTGACTGATTACTACAGTCTGGTTGATTAATACCATTTTCTAAACTACTATTCATAATTGTCTGTTGCTCATTAGAGCCAAAGGATTCATTAGATCCGCCAGCACAATTGCTGGTTTGTTTGTAATCAAAGTTATGTCCACAGTGATTACATACATCCTTCTTTGACAAGGAAAGGTTGATCAAATGTCCACAGTTTTTGCACAACAACAAACTATCACTAGCATCCTTTGAAATGGAATGAACAGCTGAGAATGGTTCTGGCCTATAACCAGTGAAGTCACCAAACTCATCATCCTCCACAGAGCGCAATTGATCTGTTGTCCCACTTGAAATGTAAGTGCCATCTACTGAATTTTTTAGAGTATATAACTGAGAAGAATCAGATGTGCCGTCACTAGTATCTTCGATGGCATTAACACTTTCCCCTTTTGAAGACTTTAACTGCGACATAGTATTTATTCTCAAACGATTTATAGTTGATAATTTGAACGTCTCTACAGTAAGCCAGAAGTTTAACAAATTTGTGGCATTTTGCTTTTGCATGTATTCCATGAAATAAGGTAAAACACTGTCATCCATGAGCACTTCCACTAGAGTCTTGGACAACTGTGACCTTCTTCGAAATGTCGCCACACACTGGAATTAAAAAAAGCAATATTTAGTGTTATCCATAAGTATACCCCTAATTAAAGTTAAGTATACCCCTAATTAAATTTCCCAAATTATCCTTTCTGTAATTCAGAGGCACAAACCCGCCCTTTTCAAAACCTCAACAGTGCATTTCATCTTTTTCTTTGTAACAAAGCTAAACTCCTAGGAGTGACCATGACAGAATTTCTCCTTACAAATCAGTACAATATTAAGCAGAAAAGTGATGAGAATAAAGAAAATATCAAGAAGGGAGATTATCAATTGGTCCAATACCAAATTAAAAAATTTTTTTTTGCCGAGCCAATTACACACTGCTCTGACCTATGATCATTTCCACATCAAAACCTACTAGGCTTGCCCTCCTGAAAAAAAAAAAAATTGTTGTTTCAGGGAGATCCCCCTGCTCCAGCTCCTACATGCACAACAACCTCCTCCAAATCACATTAAAGTGCAGTGGAAAAATATATTCCAATGTAATACCTTGGCAGACTTCTTCTTTGAAATGCTTGCCAGCAACTTCCTGCATTCTTGAACTATAGAGAGAATAGAGCAAAGAGAGTGCAGTTAAGGAATTTGCCAACTATCTACTATATGAATTATTGGGCCAATTGTCAAATTAAACAAATGCCACTACAAAGTGCAAGCAATTTGACTGTGGATGCCACCACTACAAATATTTAAGATCTTAAGCAAACCCTGATGGTAACTGCAAAGAGAAAATGGCAAAATAAAAGATCTTGTGGGAAGAACAATAGCTCAGCACAGATGGTACATTTTAAAACTTTGCATATTTCTTTGACTGCCTCTGCAAAAGAAGACTGTAAAATCACAAAATTTTCCATTTTTTGAGGACAGAAAACCATTTTCCATTTTGAACTTGATGCTGCACATACATGTTATGCTTTAAGTTCCAAGGTATGGTGATGTAGGATTTTTTTTTATGATAACCAGTGCAGCAGCTGTCGGAAAACCACAAGTTGAGGTTTGTGTTTAGAGTCAGATTAATGAGCAGTATTCAAAAGGAAAGACACCATGGTCAAATTTGTAGCAATTTTTGACTGGATAGGTTACAGGGAAGAAAGAATAATATAACCTCGGGAAGCAATTATTGTTCTTTGCTACAGTTCACAACACTTACTCCCAATCAAGTTATTTCTTCCATCTCTGGTTTCAACTGGTGCAACTGGCTGCTTATTTTTTCCTTTACTTTTTCCAGGTTTAGAGTTCTTCCCTTTTGCCTGCTTATCTGAAAAATTAAAAAACAAAGATTATACATTACACTTAATCTCTCCAAAAAAATGGAACAAAATAACCTGCCTAACCCTAACGCTCACATCTAAAATACCTATCAGAAAAAGCATTTAAAAGACCGCTTCATGACCACGCATTCCCAGGTCAAAATGTGGTAAGAACAAAAAATAGCACATAATGAACAGCCAAGTGAGTCATTGATGTTCTCACCACAACTGACATCTTCTGTGATCTATGACTTAAAAAACCCATGGTGCATGACATAGAAACAATCAAAACTTTTGTAAAATTCAGCTTATAATATAATTAAAAACTTAAAACATGTCCACATTCCACATAATAATTACCAATGATTTATTGTAATTATTGCCATGATTTGATGAATAAGACTTTAGAATAAACACCATCATTGATTACATATAGCTACAAAAAGCCCTAAAACTTTAATTGAGGCTGCAGTATTTAACCTAGTAAATTATATATTGGCGCGATGAATTCAGCTTTTTAGAGGACATCAGCAGAACTAGGACAAAATGTGGACTGTGTTACCCCAATCTGACAACTGACAATTTTCATTAGAATTTCATTCCTTGACTTCTAAATTGCATAATAATTTCTTCTTTCAAGTAATCATCAGAAATCCTCGTTCATAAATGCAACATTAAGATCAATACGCAAAATGTCTGAGAATTAATTTTTATTGCTAATTAATCTTGACCTAAAATCTACAGCGCAATGTACGTAGTTCACGATAATACAAGCTGCTTAATGAAATAAGATACATGTTTGTAAAAAATTTCTCAAAATTTTTTATATACCTTAGTGAATGCTACAGTGAAGAGAAAAATAGCAGTAGAGGATGAAAAAACAGCTGACTGTATATAGTACGAAAGACAACGTGCTCTGAATTGTACTCTGTCAACTTAATATGTACAGTACACGCTGAGTACTCGCTATGTTAAAACAACCTCCTTTGCAAATGTTGTTCACACAGCCACTTCAAAAATCATATTTACGACAAGACGTGAATGTGTGAGAAAATATTGAAACACAAGGAACGTTTAAATTTCACTTGCAAAGGCTTCCGTTTTGAACAGGGTAGGCTAGCGCGGAGTAGATGCTTACCTTTGGCTGAAGGTTTCCTCGAAAATCGCAGCATTCGAGCAACGAATTACCTTCTATATCCTTGGAAAAGTATATGCGACCTCCAGCGCTGAGTACAAGGCTGTCTCCAAAAAAGAAAACATTCCGAAAAGCGACGATTTCCGTGTAACTATTCCGAAGTTACAGACATGTCTGCTCTTAGCATTTTCAATATATTGCATTAACAAGATAAACAGCTGACCATACCTCAGGAATGCAGGCGTATAGAGGTAACGTGACGTTTGATGACGCATCATTGGAGCGTAAAAGAATATGCGAGAGGTCTGGGAGAGGCGATAAGGAATAATGAGAAAGAAGTGGTAGGTAGGGAGATGACTTCCTTTGTAGCGGAACAAAGGGCTGGTGGCGGGAACCTCTTTGATCAGAAATTAGCGCTACTCAGAGCGGAAATCCGTTCATTTCAGCTCCAATCAATCTAGATTGTTTTTTGATGAAAGTATGTACAGGAGATGAGTGTTTTGTACACGCCTCGAATGAATGAGATTGCTGTGCAAAAATTCTAATTGACAGGATATTAGTGACTGGGGACTGCTGACAACGATTGTTGTCCTCTAAATTTGCAAGTCTTGGCAGTCATCTGCTTTCAAATAGGAGGGTTGTGAAGGTGAGTTAAGACTTTAAGCTTCTTTGTTTATTTTTAGAACTGGCAAGTGTCGCGATTCGAGTATTTTATAGTTAATACCGTGTTGCAAGGGCCATTGTTTAATGTCTTGGTAGTTTACATACACAGTCGCTAAATTAAGATGTTTAGGAAGAGCTCAAGTGCAGATTTCTTGGTACGAAATTGTGGTTGCTTTACTCTTAATTAAATGTGTAACTTTTTGAGAGGCAAATTTAGCTTCAAGTTGTTTTTAAGTTGCGATCTTTCATGCGTGCAATGCGTTTCTCTTATAGTTTTCATGTTCGTTGCGTTTCAATTGGAACCAGACGCTCAAGAGTAATCTACTTAAATAAACAGCGGCTTCCTGCAGATTCTAGCGCTAAACTTCGTTCAATTCGCTTCAATGTTCGCGTGGTAATATTCAAAGTGTTCTTTATGTGTTCTTTATTGTTTGTTACATCAAAGACTTATGATATTAATCGAGCGTCTTCGAGCGTGTCTACATGATATTTAAGAAGGGAACACTTCATTATCACCTCTGGTGACTAAATTAATGGTATCTCTTGAGAAATCTCTTGGATTTTTACCTCATATTGCCCTGTGACCACATTTTGAAACGTGGTGAAACAATTTTTCAACGCGCTACGCATGTATTTTTGGAAGTTACAAATTAGCGAATGAACGAAGTTTCGGTGAAAAAAATATTCACTAGAGCATCTTTTGAATGGTGTTTATTGCGATTAATATAGTTCAATTTGTTTTCACTCGAAGGTCTTTGCCTCTAAATGCTTTTCACGCTTTGTCAGTTTGCTTGTTATGGAAGAGGATATGTCTTAATTGTTCCCTTACTTTGTCTGTTTTTCCCATTCTTTTTTTCTTTCAATCTGCGTTGTTCGCACAAGGTCCATCAAAGTTTTGAACATGATCAATTGATCATAACTTCACCTGTCGTGAATAAACTTTCGGAGACAATCGATCTTGTTTACCTTTGCTTCCCAAAGGATCACCAGAACCTTTTGTGCGACAGCTTGCTTCTAAATTTACATAATGTGACGGTAATGTTTATTGTGGATCCTGTTGACCATATGTTCCTCGTAGATCCAGTGATTCGTATAGTACAAGGATTTATGTCCTACGAAATATGTGTAATGTAGGCAGAGAAATTTAATATAATCTATCAAAACATTGTCCTCTCCTTAGGAGACAAACTGATCATTCCCTTGAGAGCCGATTTAATATCGCAGTTAGCATCATGATTACATGAACATAAAACATGAAAACACCATGCGAACATCCCGGAAACTTGAGCTTCCTGTTGATTATTAGTTTCGTAATAGGTAATTCATAGTATCAGATGGCTAATATATAGTTCTAATATGTTTGTTTTTGTTTTTTTTTCTTAAAGGCAGAAATGTCAGCAATTTCAGTGTTATGGACAGTTTTGTCTCTAGTTCTACTGTTCACTTGTACCTTGGCATTATTTTCTCCGTTTTGGCATGAACACCTTCCTGATCCTTTGTCAACAAACAACAGTGAGTCCTTTACAGCATTTGGTCTTCTACGATTCTGCTTCCAGGAGCAATTTGTGACTTTACAAGAGATAGATGCTTGGAGATCCTCAAAATATTGCTCTTTTTATGAGAATATTTTCTCTGGAATCCCTTCTATTTACTGGAAGGGTGCTGCTAGTACCTATGCACTTGCACTGGTTCTGTTATTGGGTGCACTTTTCCTTGCACATGTAGCATGCTGCCAAAGATTTATTTGTGGAAAGTCTGTCTTTGCCATTGCTGGAGTTATGCAGAGCATTGCAGGTAATTACGATATGTGGATAAAATAGTTCCATATATTTTTTATGGGAAAATGAACTACAGGAATCATTATGCTCAGTCTTGATTTTTCAGTTTTCTTTTCTGGTGTTTCAGTTTCAGAAATTGTGACTGTTTTTTCTGGTTACAGATATTGGGTGGGAAGGCTAAAACTAGGAGAATTTACTCTCACTCAAATGGCAGGCTAGACAGGTCAACTAATACTGACAGATTAAAATGGCATTGTTAATCAGAGCTGTTGTTTATGAGCCAGAATTAGATCAGTCAGGTCATAAGCTGAAAGCAAAATTTTACACAGTTCAAGCCAAACGAGAGCCCTACACTTTTGTAACCCACAGAAGTCTTTTAGCAGATCCAGATCTAAGGAGGCAAATGTTTTGACTTTGTTATACTATTAATCATTAAGGAAGCTTCCTAAGCATGAAAGCTAGTTTTAATGTTGTTAGAACTGTAGTTGAACCGTCAAATGCTCATCATCAGGTTGGAAATGCACTCTGGTAAAAATAACTTCTTCTCAAATTCAAAGCAGACTTTGCTTGATAGAGGTTAAAGTTGTCATGTTTAAATCAGAAACTTAAGAAAAGGTTGGTGGGCACAGAATTTTTTTTTAAATTTATGACCCATGGTTCACCAAGATCTATGTGTGTTTAATATATATAATAAAGAAATATAATAAATACTATACTTTTGTGTTTTGCAGTGGCTCTTTTGGTAGTCAGTCTGCTGGTGTACCCATTTGGTTTCAAATCCACTTATGTTCAGCAGCACTGTGGTAGCTCAAGTGGGTTTTTTACATCTGGTGCTTGTGACATTGCCTGGGGTTATGTACTAGCTATTGTAAGCACAGCATTGCTATTTTTCTGTCCAATGATTGCCTACCATCTCTCAGTGGCAAGACCAAGATCAAAGGCAACTGTGGTATAAACAGTTTCACAATGGTCTTCTTTCATATTGACGAAGAACTTCAGTAGAAAAAAAGACAAGATCAATTAATTGCAAGCCCACTAGTAAATTACTAAAATGGCTGATAGTTTTTTTATTTTTTTCCAATCTTGAATGTCAAAAGGTCATGGTACCGGTAGTTGGTTCAGATCAGATTTTAATCAAATTAGACTCATTTATATAATTATACAATATATAGTACGCTTTGAAATAATTAAAACATAGTAAATAATGTTCATACATGGCTGGCTCCATGAGTGGGTGAGATGAAGGAATCCTGTGTCCTAATTGGCCACCAGAGCCAATCAGGATTATGTAGTCTGATTCTTAGAATAGAGAAAAAAAATTGCCATGTAGCCAGTTTTCCTTTTTTGGTCATTTCTTAACAAAAAAAACTCAGCATGTTTTACAATAACTAAGCCTCTTTTGTTTGTTTTCCCTATTTTTTGTGTTATTATGGTCCTTGACTCCGTCCAGGTCCCTGATGAAGCTTTGAAAGAACTTAGCCAATATTAGTTCAAGTATGGATTGGTATTCATTTAAAGCAGTAAAGCAGTATTTTCAACATGTACCATAGAGATTATAAACAAAGAGAATCTTTGGAAACAAATGGTTAAATGAATACATGACTAATTTTAGCAGACCATAAGATGCTCTGCCTCAGTTAGAACCTAAGTTATTTGCCTCTTTTATTTCTTTTTTTTTTTTTTAATTAAGTGAGGTTTTATATACTTTTTTATTCTACTGAGAATCCTTGAATGGTCCTAGATTTTCTCTTTGCTATGAAACTCTTAACCAGGTGAACAAAGTTTTATCTAATTGTATCTTGTCCACCCAGAGTAACTGTGTTAAATTTGAAAAAAATGATTGTATCCAAGTGAATTTTCCCATGGAGTTGATAGATCTGTTATATATCTTACAGAGGAGTGTATAAAATTTTACATTTATAAAAACAAATCAAGGATTTAAGATTTGCTCAAGTGATGAAGAAAATGGAATATTTAGTTGTTGTGAACACAGGCAAGAAGTACTAGATTTTTTCAGTTATTCAACGAGTTGCCTTGGAAAACAAATACTATATTTCCCTTTATATGTGACATATGCGAGGAAAAAATGAAATTTTATGGTTGCAGAACATTATTCAACAGAGTCTCTGTGCACCTGCTTGAAAAATTTTGAAAACAAAACTTTTTAGTTAATGATATGAGTTCTATCATATATTGAGTGACTATGGCAAGTCATATACTGGTAACTTATGTACTGGAGACAGAGCAAAATGTTTTGCACATGATAATGGGTAAAATATACCCTATTCAACACATTAAAATACATTTTGCACATTTAATTTTGCACATCAAGAGTATTAATTAGAATGGTATAATTATTAGAAATCTAATAAATAAAAAATACATTTCTCCTGGCTTTTGTGGTTTACCTCAGTGTCAGTGAAAGAGATAGATGTTTAAAAATATAATGATGAAGAGGGCTGAGACAAGATGAAGTACAAAATATTTCCTTGAAATTTCACTTTTGCCCAAATTCTCTCAAAGATGTAAATACAAGGTGAAATTCCGATTTCCCTTGACCCTGAAGAAATTTATTTTTCCTTTACTTTTTCCTGACCGTTGGCAACCATGGAGTGTGAATCAGCTGATTTTTGGAAACTTGGAACTCTAAGGAATACTTCCAAGGTACTTTGAGTAATGACTAAAAGATATTAGTTCGCCAATAGAGAATAGAAAAGCAATGATGAAGCTGGAAGGAACATGGATGGCTGAAGATGGAAAATAATAAAACAGATTGAAAACATAAACGAACTTGAAAAATCGAGGCCAAATTTTCACACAAACCGAAGCGTAGCTCCTGTCGTTAGGGGAAGCAAAAAATAGAAAGACAGAACCCTGGAGCAAGAAACTCAGCTCGAGACAAAAGAGGAAAAGACCCAGGCAACAGACGTAAGTTTATCAGTCAAATTGTCATGTGTTACACTCTTTGAATAAAGTTGTTACTTATTTACTTGTTGTAATAACAACACTTATCTTGCCATATTATTTTGGCCCTTTCTAGTTCCTGCTGGTTCTTGTCATCTGATCAATTTTGACCAACTGCTTTCATTCCTCTCCTGGAGAGCAAGGGAATTGAAAATAAGATTGAATTATGCATTACTGCTTAACCCCCACAGAAATATAGCGCGACTTTCCTCTTTCAATTCAAGGAAGAAACTCTGCAATGCGTTGTTCTGTTGCAAAGTGAAGCGGGCTTGACCGTCCTGAGATGAGCGCAGGCCTAATATATCAGGTTTCTGGTTTCAATTTCGACAACACATTGCACAAGGTTTGTCACTCTTTTTAAAGACGATTTGGATATTTTGCAGTTATTTTGTTCACAGTTTAACTGTACAAGGCTCAGACACTCGCCAAACTTTTCAAGTGCAGAAATTACAAGCGTGGCTTTGCGCGCGCCGCGTCGATTGTGTTTTTGGCGCGAAATCTGTCGGAAGTGCTTCTAGGTTCGTGTTCCTGCCTGAGTTGGCTATCTGAAAGAAATGATACTAGAGCTTTTTGTTTTTTAAATATAATCTCTGAGACTGATGTTGTTCTATTGATTGAAATTGTCTTTATTTCTTAAGAACTTTATGCTAACGCACGATGAACGATAAAAAAAAGCAAGTGAAGAACACCCCGCTAGCAATATTTCAGGAATATTTCCATTGAAGTCTCGCTTCTTAAAAGTTACCTTGTTCTCCATTTCATGACCCTTCAAAGCACTGAGGCACGTATAACCGGAGTGGTCAAGAAATGGTCAGGTATTCAGCCGTTAACCATTTATTAAACCAAAATAAAATGATCTATTTGATCGAACTTTTAGAACCCACGACGAAATCCTAGTCTACATGTCCACCACGGTTTGACCACCCAAAAAGAAATACGCCGTGGGGCCGAGGTGATTTGTCAGGAAAATTTTGGCGCGGAATAGTTGCAAGTTGAAGGAGTCTGGACACTGGACTTGTTACAAAATGGCGGCCCGTTCAACTGTGGGCGATTCACCCTTTGTGTTTCGAATTTCACACGACGAACTGGTAGCCTATGCTGACGAACTAGACAGAAAAAACGAAAAAAAGAATTCAAAAAAGATAAATCACGGAAAATATGAAGAAAAGGATTCCAAACCGAAGAAATTCGATAGGAAAACTGACGTCAGCAAGAATGCTTCTCACTCCAAAGCCGAAATGGAAGAAAGTTTTGGGGGAAAAGAAACCAAGTTTAATCACGAAAAGGATAACGAGGGTCTCAAGAAAACAAAAACTGAAAAAAGGAAAGATAAGAGAAAATCGCCATCGTCCAAATCTCGGCATAATTCCTCCTCAAACACAGAGGATGATGTCGATCCAAAGGAGAAATGTCCGGTTACTAATAGCGACCAAATTGGAGTGAATGAAACAGGAAAGGCTACGAGAAAGCGTCGTGGAAATGTAAGCAAAGCAACCAAAGCTGATGAGGATGAAAAAGACATTGAAAAATATGAACTTGATCTGAGAGCTCGCACTGGTGGTGTTTTGAAGCTTTCTAAAGAACCTTCTTATGCTGCAGAGGATTCGCTTAAGGATGAAAAACCAAGGGGAATAATTAAGTTGCCCGAAGGTTTCCATATTAATAGTCACAATGCAAGTGAAGAGGAAGGTTTCACATCTGATATACCTCCCCGAAAGAGAACTTCAAGCATGAATGATGGCAGTAGCAGAAGTAGTGGCCTTCATGGTCCTGCTCATACAGAGAAATCAGTGTCTCCTAATAAAGAAGTTCGGTTTAGTACAGTAAATGAAAGGATTACAGTACCTCCAAAAAAGCATAGCACAAGCACAGGACAATCTGGAGACAAACATGCTGAAGTAAACAATGTTGACAGTGATAAATGTGTGGACATTCAAAACACTTCAATGGAGAACAATGTCATTTATGAGACTAAAGCAGAGAAAACACTTAAGTCTATAAATCAACAAAGAGCTCAAAGACTGTTAAAAGTTGTGGCACCTAAAGGGGCGCAGCTGATTCATTTGTTATCTCGTGGGACACTTGATAAGGCAGCTTTTGCAAAAATTTGTAGCCTAAGTAAAGAGATACAAGACACTTACAAAGGGATTATGATGCTTGACATTGGCCTGGCTACTCAACTAGAGATTGATCAAAACCTCTGGAAGAGTGCATTTTATAAGGTTATTGAAACACTGAGGAAGTATGGAAAACTCTTTTTGGGATATGAAGAAAAATCAGATGTACTGTCTCCTAAGGAAATAAATAACTGTTTGAAGGAATTCTTGAAAGATGCGGAGACATTTTATAAAAGTCTTCTGGAATTGTTACAGAAAGAGCATGATTTCTCAATTCAGGATATTGTCAGTCAACCAAGGAAGGCAGAAAAACTTGGGAAGAATGTAAGTGCCTCCAATAATTTTTTCTCTTCATGGGTCTTACACTTTCTTTAAACCTTTTTAACTAGGTGCTCATCTCCACAAAGGCAAGTTTTCATTCTTGTCAATACTAGAATCCTTCTCCTTGATAGATTGCCTTACAAAGTAATCAAGCTCCATCTATTTGGGTTGGGGAATCAGAGTTGTCCTTCTCCTAGAGTGGCTGCCAACCATGGCTAACAGGTCCAACCTACCTATCCCTGCTATACCACTGGGTTCTTGGTCATGCTACAATAGTAACCCTGTAGAAATATGGGAGGGGGGAAAGGCCATATGTAATGACCTTCTGCCTAGCTAGTGGTCATGCAGCAATCACCACTCCTGACAAGGAGAAAAGGAAGAGTGATCAAATTGCACATCCTAAAGTGAGCATGATGTTTGGCTCAGACCTCTCAATGCCACAAAGGCCTCGTGCACTCCAGGGCCAAGGAGAAGAAAAATTTAGTTGTGAATGATTGTTTTTTTGTTTTGTTTTTTTTGAAAACTTTGCAAGAGTATGACCTTTTTATTCCAAGGAGTGATAAGTTCCATGCTTAGCATGCATTTATCAATGCAAGCAGGACGTTTTGAGTTGCTTCTTAGGGCCATACTATTATTATTTAACACTGTGATCTAAACATTTATTCCAGGCTAAACTTGCTCTTATGAGCTCACAGCACATTTTGATTTCCCTTGGAGACATAGAAAGATATCAAGTGCAATTTCAGCCCCGACCAAACTGGGCGTCCATCAGATCATGGTATCTTAAAGCAAGCAAACTGGCTCCAAAGAATGGTAAACCTTACAATCAGCTTGGCGTAATTGCTGTGTCAGCCAATCGCAAGCTAGACTCTGTCTATTACTACATAAGGAGCCTAGCTGTGAGTAATCCAATTTTGA